AAAAAAAAAAAAAAAATACCATAGCTACAGTCGCAAAAAATAAGACACCTAATGATAATTGAGATGCTTCGAATCAAACGCAATATGCCTATTTGACTCCATTGCAATGAACGTACGCGATCCATATACCAAGTGCAGCTATAGATAACACACTAAACACACCAACTATTACGGTGGTAAAGGAGAAGGAGGAGGACGGATGTCCTGCCTGTATCGTGACTGTCCTGTGTGCTGAATACGTTTGCAACGCTGGCCGCATCGGTTACCGCTTTGGCGTATACATGCACGAGCTGTGCGTTACATACGCAGGTATATTTACATGTATATACACATAGCGTCGTAAGTAATTGCGACTCCGAAGAAAGTATAAACTATGTGTACTCGTGTGCGCTGGTAAGTAATTTCGCTGTTCTTTTTTAAACGCAACGTTTTTCCCTCGAGTTTTATCGGCCGACCGACAGCTGTGGAAGTATCATGCGTATACTTTTTTTTACGCGCGACAGATGATGGCTCACCGCTATATGGTAGTATTACTTTTTTTTTTTCTCTCTTTTTCACGCGGGCACGCGGTGCGCGATATATTAACATTCGGCTCGGCTCTTCCGTTGTCTTCGGCACGCGCTTCGTTATCTCCATGGCTTCCTTTTTTCCTTTATCTCCTTTGTCCATTTTGGCATGTATTACGTATACACGCGCTTAACAAGATAATGGCGATCGGCACACGAGGCGACAACATAGTGCTTTACGAATGCCCACAGTGATCGATTGCGTAAAATGTTGTTGTCCCCCGATTAGAGTACGTATATTTTCCTCCTAGCGAATCTTGGGCACGGAGGGACACCCTGTACAATACCCTATACGCACGCATCGCAAACCCAGGGAGCGAAACGAAGCGCGCGAGAAGAAAAAAAAAAAAAAAAAAAAGGCAGCACACAATTACCATCGCGTGCATAAATACAAGGCGTGCATGCGCGTGCACCAAAGAGTACCCCAATTAAAAGTCGTGCGCCAGCGCTCGTATACACGCGCTTTTTTTTTCATCCGCGTTATCTCCGAGTATGTGTTGTACCCACACGTACACATGTGTACGCAGTGACCGGAAGCGCAGCTCGCGCATGCTGATAATATAATTATACGCGTGTACATGTATTATACATAAAAAGGAGCTGGGATGTCGGGGTTGGGGGGACAGGACGCGCGGTGTGTCTCGGACAAAGAGCGGGAAAGACGGATGTGGCCGTGGGGGGAGGAATCGTTTTCTCTCCCAGTGTGTCCACGCATTGGCCTGCATGTTGTGTTATGTGCCTTTATTCCATATACATGTAGGGCTCTCTCTCTCTCTCTCTCTCTCCCCCTGCATGGGTTCTATATATGTATGTATCCGCGCAAGGGCGTCTCTCTTTTGTTTGTGGGTTACGTGGTCGAGCGACTTTTCGTGGGTACTTATATACGACTCAACCTTTCACGGAAGTTGTGCAATATTCCTCGCGAGTGTGGTGTTTCTTCCCTCCAACACCTTTTGAATACCCCTGCCAGCGAGCCCCATATCATACACACCTGTAAGACTTTTGTTTGTCGAACCTTTGGTATTTATTTACCGTAGATTAAACAATTTTAACGAAGCAAACAAGCAGTGCTCTCTTGCGGGTAGCCAGGTGTGCGCGCTAAATCCCGCACAATGTGTGTCAAGTGCGCTTTTGTACGAGAGCTATCAAACGCAAAAGCTCATTCTCGTTCGCCTCGAGAGAAAAAAGTGCACACAGTGCGGCCTTCGAAAGCTCACCATTTTATTTCGTGGTTTTACGTCACACGCATAAGTACTCGTCGATCTTAAATTAATATACTAATGCCTCGAATTTTCGCCTATACGCCCCTTTCCCTCCGAGCTTGGTAACGCGTTTCGACTTTTCTCTTACAACAATACATGTGAACTGTAGGCACCTACCACACACGCGACGACTCTCCGCCACCCCTAGTTCTCCCCCGACCCCACTGTGGAAGCTCTCATCTCGCTTGATTCACCGTCTGCGCCCCGATGAAATCGCTTTGGGCCGACCTCGTTAAATTTAGGACAGCGTTAAAGAGGAAAACGTAAGGGACGAAAAAAAGATTTTTCCACAAATTTTTCAAATTACCTCTGAATCGCTCGAAAAAATAACCCGAGCGTAGTTTTGGTTTGCTTGGGAAGAAGCTTGCCTCGTGACGATATATATATCGGTTTGAAAATTTAGTAAAATGAACTGGTGGTGGGAGTTGTTTTTTCTTAATTAAGGCGCAAAAGTTGTTCTCGAGGCTATACACAACATCCTTTCGTCAATAAAATTATTCTTTCTCTCTCGTTTGACAGATGCTTCGCGTTTAACGAGGAAAGCTCTCAAAACTCGTAAACTAAATGAAAGCGCTGTGAAAAGTTTTTTTTTTTTTTTTTTTTTTTTTTTTTTTTTTAATAAAGCTCACGTCTGACTAAATTCTTTATTACTACTGTATTTGTAGCCACACCAACTTTCATCACAACCCGTGTGAAATGCATACACAGTCAACAAAGGGCATCGATTTCGCACCACATAAAATTTTCAACTCAGCCGCAAAAATATTCTCCCCCTACCTCTACCCTATACCCTTACCATTTTATCAGTATAATAAGTATACATAAGGTCTCATCGAAACTTCCAGATGTGCATCCACGCGCACAACAGCTTCCATTAAATCACCGTCTGAATACCCATGGCGAGTCTCTCTCGCAGCCGATCGATGCCGACCCAGCGTATACGTACAACCACCCACCCACCAACACACTTCGAAACAACCATCTCGTCGCAGCCTGCACCGCAATCACCCTCGGAGCTTTCTCACCGCCACCGAGACACCTACACCCGCGCAACGTGTACCAACCCCTCCCCCCTCACGTAATATAACTTGGAGAGAAAGATTCCGCATGTACATACATGTACACAGGATTTGGGGGTGGGTGGGTCAGAGGGGATGCCGCGCCCAGAGCAGCGCAAGCGTCGTCGCTGCATCACCAGCAACCCCCGTGTGTGTGTGTATATAATATATCGGCACGCGCGTGCGCCAGCGGCGTTGCCAGGTGGCTGCGGGCGCGCTCCCTCTCTTTCTGTCCCGTGCGGTACATCGCACCCCCGGCCGAGGAAAAGGAGCACCAGCCAAACCGGCCGGCTGCTCCTTCGTCCCGACCTCCCGTCGTCCCCACAGTCCGTCCACGGCGTCCGTCTAACGCGGCGAAGCGCAAGCCCACCGCGACAAACGTCCTGCTCTCTCTCACTCACTCTGTCCGTTTGTAGTTACTTCTCAAGTGTTTTGGGCGGCCCCGACCTTGTCTCTGACCTCCACCCCTGGACCATCTGCGCAGCGCGTAAACGTTATTTTCTATACCACTGTGATACTATAGTGACACGCGGAGTGTGCCAGAAACTCGTGCTTTCTTCTCTCGTTAACTATCCAACGCACTCGTCTCGAGGGGCTCCTCGTGCGCCAGCGTCTCTGGCCTTTTTCGAGAGCAAAGCGCCCCCGAGATCAGAGGGGGTGCTCCTTCGAGACTTTTGTGCGGTTAAGAGCGTGCATGTCGATGAGTTAACGAGCAAAGTCATTGAAAGACCAATCGCCTTCTTGCGCTTTGAATTCCATCGGTGAGCAACGCAGTGAAAGCGGGCGGATGGGAGTTCACCCATCGTCGAACCATATGTAAAAGTACCTACTTACCTGTCATTACTCTCTTGTTTGTTTTTGTTTTTGTTTTTGTTTTTTTTTTTTTTTTTGTATATAGGTAAGTAGAGCTGGAGACACCGCGAGTTTAATTCAAGGCGCGTATAGTGCCGGGAAAAATGGCCGACCGCGGTCCGAAATAAATAGCCCGCCGCCGTTTTTCCGCGAGAGGGAGGACAAGGGGTTTCCAATCGATCGATCTGCCGGCTAATGCACCGGCCGATACGCACCGCAGAGAGGGTGCCAAGCAGAAGAGGAACGGGTGTATTATTATATTGTATACACCTGCACGATTTTTCACGGATCAGGAGGTCAGAGCTACAGCGTCGGAAGTGCGGGGAGCAGTGACCGTTCTGCATCCCTCTCTGTCTTTGTGTGGTGCGCGTGTGTGTCGTTCGAGAAAAGGTAGTCGGTCGCTTCTTCTGTTTTCCCGGGATATATACCTTATCTTGTTTATCGTGCTAATACAACAAAATGGCAAAGTTTCGCGTTGCCAATTGAAAATTACAACTTTCATTGACAAGGGCATATCGTTTCGTGTACGTAAAAATTTATCAACACATCGTCACGGTGTACACATACTATTATTCATCCAATGACTTTCTCGTCATCAAGAGTTTAGTGCTCGTGTGTTGAGTATATATAGGCGAATGAAGTGCCATTAGGATGATGGTGGAGCGCGTCGAGGGTCACCTCTTCATGTATCGCCGACCCGTCTACCGGGTGTTCCAGTATCTCGAGACCGAGTGAGTATATCTTTGTTTAACGTTGGGTAAATTTACGATTATTGCATTTATTGCGAAAAGGGTATGTATATATACATGCTAAGTCGCTGCTGGGGGAGGGGGAGGGGGGTTGAAAAAAAATTAACAGATCGATGGTGGTATATTTTACATACCTGGCGAATTCCATTGGATTGTTTTGTCGATAGGTGCTGGGTGTTTCCATGGTGAACCCATAAGTATATCGTGTGTACTTGTATAGGTAGGTGAACATAATAAGTGCTGTCGTCTACCGGCACGCGTTTGGCTTCGATCGCTCTTGTGTCTCTAGGGGCGCGCTCGACAACAGCCATTAATGACGTCGCTTGCTTGCCTCATTGTTTTACAAAGCATCCATTTATATATACGTATACACACGCAGTTATCGGATCACAGAATTTCGTACGAATTCATTTTCGATGAAAAATTAATCGCAATTGTTTGTTATTCTTTTTAATATAAAAAGGGTTTTTAATGCGTATTTAAAAACAATCAATAAGTATATACGTACTTTCAAAGTTTGTAATAAAATATGTCTACATCAAACGGATACAGCACGATTTTTTTTTTTCTTTCTTTTTTTTAATAATAATTCAATTACGACAAACTACGACGAACCGTCTATTACTGCAGATCACTTTCCATCGCTGCTTGAATGAAATCTAAATTACGACTGACATCGACGTACTGCCACTGAACCCAACGTTGCAAATCATCGCACGTGTACGCGACCAATCCAACCTATGAAAATAAAAAGATGGAATGAACAATGTTTATTTTTATCCAAGTATATACATTTTACATCCTCACCACTGTGTCATTGGATACAATCGGTGAACCCAGAGGAGGACAAAACACGTACTTCTTTATGAATTGAGGGTCAACTTCGCTGATAGGCATAACTTGGGCATCCTGAAAAAAAAAGAAACACTTGCTACCTAAATAAAAAAAAAAAAATAAAAAAAACTTTTTGTCACTTATACACGGCACCTTGAAATCAAAGCTCGAAATGTCCAATCCCTCTAGCGAACTCTTTAATATTTGATTCGCCGAGTAGCCCAAGATGATTTCGGTCGCGTTGTTCGCGGTGATGTTTTTCTTGACGATTCGCTTGATGTCCTGAAAGGTGCTCTGGATGTTTGACACCTGATCGGTCATAGAGTCCAAGATCTTGGACATGATGTCGATCATCGAGTGCTTAACCAGATTCCTGAGCTTCACCTTATTCGGATCTGTCATGTTTCCATACTTGAGGTTTAGATTTATCTCGCTCCAATCGATCGACTTCCTTGGGTGATCGACGCTCGAATCATGCGAACTCGCCTCCGTCGTTGCTTCCGAATTTTGCCCCACGTGCGTTCCTACCGTCGTCGCTGCCACGTCTTGCGTCTTCTGGGGCTCCTCCACTCTCGTCGTCGTCGCGCCATCCGACGAGTCCGACCCTTTGGTCATTGTATCATTCTGACTGTCCACCGAAGCTTGAGTGGTTGCATCATCCGATTGCCGAGGGTACAGCTTGTGCACGAATTTCGTTGCCGAAGGGCCCACAACGGCAGTCTCGGACGACACATCAAAAAGTGACGATCCCCGAGCAACAGCTCTGTCGACTCGCGCGTTCGCGATTTTTTTATGAAAGTACTTTGAGAAGAATTCCTTGGCGTTGGCAACGTTTTTGTCGTGCGAAGGCGACGGCAGGTGCTTCACGTTCATCGGCTCCACCGTCAACTCGTTCTGCGGATGGATAAAACCAGGGGTCATTAACCTGTTATCAATGGGACACCCAACAATTGATCGCTACGAGACGTACATTCATGTTTTCGACGACCGTGAACAACCTGCACCCGCTCGAACAGCACACGTGGCCAATGTCGCCGTACACGTCGCTCGGGAGACTCGGGACGAAGAGGGATTTCCTTGGTATCCTGGTCAAACGAAATATCGATTCGATCAAACCCATATTTGATGGATCCGTCCAAATGAAGGATAAAACGACAAAACAACGACACGTACGAGCAAGAGAGCATCAGAATGGCAATGTTGTTCCTGGCGTGGTCCGCCGATGACGGATCAGGGACGTATCGGGGGTGGATCCTAAAATCCTCGATCTTGATGACGTAGCTGCTCGCTTCGTCCAACGATCCAATCAGCACGGCCAGCTCCGCGTTCACGTGGTATCTGCACATGGACCGGGTCGTCAAACGAGAGATAAAAAAAAAGGGCGAGGGAAGGGCTTTTTGACCATACTCACTCGTATATTTGGGCTCGGTTGATGCACGACGCGGACGTTAGGACGAGTCGCTCATTCAGTACGATCCCGCTGCACATAAAGTACCTCCTCTTTCTGCAAATGGTCATATTGTGTGTATATTATTTTCTCGTCTCGCGTATATATAAATACGACTTACGAGTACTGGTCGGCCTTCTCGAAGCACGGGGGTATGACCTCGTCCCTGACGAGGAAGGCATGCATCTTCAGAAAGTTGTCCGACCTGTCGACGTCGCCGTCCATCCAGGGCCTCTCCCTTCTCCGTCTCCCCCCGGAGACGAGGGCCTCGCGCCCGTGGTCGGCAATGTACTCCCAAGCAGACGCCACCGGGCGGAAGTCGCTCCTCGACCTTGAACCCGATTCTCCATGGTAGTTGCCAATCGAGCCGGTGACGAGCAACAGCAGCACCTCGAGTGTCCGCATGGCTGCCCGGGCACCACGCGAAAGACCTCCTAGCGCGCTTCCGCTATCGGCTCGCTCAATTGGGATCTGCGGCTAATCGCTGCACGCTCCACGAGCTCCAGCAGAGGGGAAAGGAGGGAGAAAAAAAAAAAAAGGAAAACTCGAGTGCCGCGCGCCCGAGATGTGTTTTCGATCGAGCGCGGCTCAGTACGCGTGAGTAAGACCGGTATGTTTACGAAATCGAATGCGCGGCTCGCGAATGATTCTGCGTTTCTTTCCCCCCTTCCCTCTCTCCCTGGAAATGAAAGCTACGGCGAGTGCGTTATTGTACAACCGCGGCTGGATTGAATCACGCGGAATGACGCTCGTTTGTTTTGTTGACCGATCCCCGCCGATTCTCGATAAAAGAGCCGCTTGTCGTTACACCGCAAGCTTATTTTCTTTTCATGCAAGCAAAACAAAACAACAAAAAAAAACGACTCCACGTGTACTTGTGTGATTTGGATCTTTTATTCGAGAGCAGTTACAATCATAAAGCCATTTTGGGTCACTGGCGATTCGAGCGTCGCTTCTCGGCCTTGAATCTCTTGTATAGCTCGGCGTACTCGCCGGGCAGGCCCGCCTCCTCGTACCTGTTGTCGTGGAAGTACTCCCCGATGCTGACCCTGTGCTGTTCGGGACCGTGGTTGAACTGATCCCCTGCCGGGCCGCCCAGTCCCACGTCCAAGTCGGGATTATCTGGTGCTTCGAAGGCCACGGTGCTTTTGGGGGACTCGGTGGTCACGTCCTCTTGGTCGACGTAGTCGCTCGTCAGCGGTGAGCTCGAGTTCGGGCTCGCTCGCTTGGGCGTGTACGTGGAGTACTGGGACTGCATCACCGGCACCTCCGAGCTGGCTTCCGTCGTTGCCACGTCCACGTCCACGTTGACGTCGTCGTCGCTGGAGTTGCGGTACATCTTGTTGATGGCCTTGAAGTAGGCCTCCTTGGACGCCTGGTGGAGCTCGGGTGGCCCGGGGCTCGTGGTGGTGGGCTCCTCGGCCGTGTCGTTCTTCTTGCACTTGGCCAGGTCGAGTCCGGGTACGTTGATGTCCGGCATGCTCTTGACGCACGCGCTACCGCTACTGCAGTTGTTGTTATCGCTGTTGTTGTTGTGGTCGACGTTGTCGTTGGGGTTGTACGCGATGATGATGTTGTAGATGCAGGTGCTGCAAGACCCCGTGGCTGGGCCTGTCGAGGTCGGCGGAGTCGCGCTCGTGGTGTCCGTCGTGTCCGACATCTCGGTCAGCCAGTCGACGTTGTCGAACAGGTCGGTGTAACGCCACGGCGTGTCCGAGTGCCGGTCGTCGCAGGCCGACACCACCAGGGCTGCCTGGAATCAATGATGTTCAATACAGAGAAGACCAAAGGTCAAACTACGAGCAGCTAATAGCTCACCTGGACGGTTCCGTTGGATATGACGGGCGTGCCAGTTTGGGCGCAGCCGTGCACTCCGGTGCTCTCCCGCACCGAGATAGACTTGGTCCTCCCGCGATCTGAAACCAAGAGGCGCATACAAGTCGGGCTATCTTACTTGCTGTTCATTGTTCGGCGCACTCACTCCTGAAAGCCGTGTTGGTCCCCAATCCCCTTCTTTTTCCGAGAACCCGAGAGCCCGACGACGACGCTCTCTTTGTTTCGCCCGCGATGCTGGCTCGTTTGCGTTTCCTCTTTGAGTTTTGGGTGAATCTCGCACTGGTCTGGTACATCGAGAAGTAAGACTGAAAGATCGGTAGGTAGGATAGGTGTACCACGTTCCACAAAGATCGGTATGTATAGTTTTTCGAAGCGTCTCACCTGACCCCTTCGCTTGATTACGGCCATGTGGCAGTTGTCGTTGATGCACTCTTTGTCCAGGGGCTTGTCCGGCAGCTCGATCTTCTTAAAATTCACGCTCGAAATGCTGAAATTTACGTATTCAAAATATAATTTTTTTTTCTTCCCCGGATACAATTAAAAAATCTCTGACGATGTCCAGACCTGCACTCGAGCTTCGCCACCACGAGGTTGTGGCGCGGGTGGCTCTCGTTCCTGGGATCCACCACGTGGTTCGGATGGATGTAGTAGTCGACGATCTTGATGACCTGCGAATCGTCCGAGAACGGCGCGATCAGCACAGCCAGCGGTGCTCGGATGTTGTGTCTGTATCCCCGATGACGTAAGATTATACACATTTTAAATACAAGTGTATACGCTATATTATCGTCATGAACAATCATCCGTCATTGTCTACGGGAGGTATATATATATAAAGCCGCGATCTAAAGTGAAAATTAACATCGGATCGAAAGTATAGCGCTCCAATGGAACTGATGGCGCGAGAGATAACATACACGTACGGAGTGCGAGGAAAAAAGCACGTGCCACAAAAGAGACAGCGTTGCGCATGGAAAAACGAAATGATATTATCGTGTACGTGGAGGGGAGGGGGGGCTTTTGTACGTTTACGGGAAATCGGCCGTAACGGGTTGCGCAACTTATACACGTATAACGTAGACTGACCCACCTGACGTAGGTAATTTCGTGAATGCAGGAGGCGGAAGTCAGGATGAAGGTGCTCGACAGTATGGAACCCGAGCACATGAGGTACCGGCTGCTCCTGTTGGCGATTATCATAAACACACATAAATTATTTATAATATATGTATGTATATATATTGGAGTGGGCCTTTTGGTATTTCCAGATATTTCTTTGCTCGCTGCGTGACTTTTTTTGTGCAAAAAAAACCCGCAACTTTTCATTTACACGGTTGGCACAAAGCGAATTATCATCGAAACCGAGGAAACGTGACAAAAGATCAGTCGCACACGCGCACCAACGAGTAAAAGAACGGAAACGACAAAAGATGCAAAAAAAAAAAAAAAAAAAAAAAAAAAAAAAAAAAAAAAAAANCAGTCAAATCATAAAAAATGTTCAATGAATTTCAATAATCCAAGGCTTGGAATTATTTCTCTCATTTTCGTGAGAGTTCAAGAAATTACAATTTTATACGATATTAAGGTACTAATTATAATTTTTGTGTCCCTAAAAAAAGATTCTTATTAAAACTAATGACTTACAATTCTGATCTTATTTTTAAATTATTAAATGAGGTTCAATAATCTTGCTCAACTGTTTTCTCGTAATATTGACACAATATATATGTCTGATAGGCGATGTCTTAGTAAGTTAACTTTATGATACCTAATTTTAAGTTAGTATGACTATTCATCTTTGTGTATTATTTTTTTAATCTATGAATGAATTTTAACTTTATTGACTTTATGTATGCATAATGAAATTTGCTGATATAACTGCTAATTTTTTCTGCAAGTCACTGTACATCTTTGTTTTAATACGATGACTTCCGAAATTTCATATTTTAGTGTTTTCTTTGTTTTAGGGTTGTGTCATCGTTTTCATCTATTCTTATATTTTTCGATTTAAAATAGCTTAGATCCCCATTCTCATGGTTTATTATTACTTACAACTACGACAGTTTTATTATTATCATATACCAAATCTTGAATACAAAATTAAAATGGAGAAATCGAACTAAAATCTAAAAATACATTCTATAAATTAGTTCTTATGCTTCACTAACTATTTTTTTGTTTTTATCTCAGTGCTTTGAAATTTCTCTTTTTTCTTTTTTCTTTTTTTTTTTTTTTTTTTTTTCCTTTCCTTCTTTTCGGCATTAGCTGTATAATCATTGGGTGAATTTTCTTTATCTAATGTACAGCTTGCATCGATCGACAAGAGGTAAGGGTTTCTACGACGAAGAGCATAATAATTATAGTTACTTACAAGGGCACCTTGCCGATGAATTTTCAATCGTAGCCGAGATTTTCGATGCAATGATGAATGATGGTTTTTTTTTTTTCATCCATCACTTTCCTACTATACGTAAATACGGCCATTTTCTAAGGAAAAACTTTACGCTGTATAACTGACACACTGGAGGCAGAGATGATTAAAAGTCATAGGTTGGAAAAGGGGTGGAAGACGGGGAATGAAAAGCGAGGGAAAAAACACGGGAAAAAGAGATGAAGGAGTGGCGAGAGAGCGGGGTATTGCGGGGCCGCGGTGCACGGGGTCGGGTCACAAAGGCAAAATAGAGTCTTTGAGTTGAAAGCGGATTTGCTCGTGCATATAAACGTCACCGGGGTTTACAGTTGTGTTTGTTGCACACCCACGACTCGGTGGACGTGTTTTTTTTTTTTTTTTTTTTTTTTCCCTTCCATCCGTCGTAATTTCGAGGCTCGCGCTTTGAATGACAATCGCAGTGCTTTACGATCCAGCCGTGACGAATCAGGGAAAATTTGCTTTCACGGAGTTGGCTCTTTCGCGCGATGATTCGGCTGGAATGGGCGAAGAAGAGTCGAATGATCGCGGCTACAGTAAATTAATCTGTGAAAATTAAGTAATGATCTTTGAACACCACTCGAAAAAAAGCTTCGTTCAAACGAACGATTGCTTTCAACAATAAGAGCTTGTACATGTATGTGTGTATCTGGTTGGCTGCGAGCGTAGATAAGCTCCAATGAAGTCGAGTGAGTTGCTTGATAAATACAAAGACTCTCGTTTCGCGCCGAACAAACAAAAAAAAAAGCTCTGCTCCCCCCTGAAAAAGCTTAATTCCCACCGCAAGTGTGCCCAAATCCCAGGATTGCCACCTGCGGATATGAATAGTAGTTGAAGCGAGGACAATGGAACCTCTGACGAAATTTGCAAAATTCACAGCACTCGTGTGCAAAGGCATATAATGTGTGGTTGCGTGTACGTAGGATACTCATTCGCTCGTATAAACGCGAGTACGTTTACCCCACTCGCGTTATTAAAACATGTGTATCATATATATAAATATGTACGAGCTACGGTTGCGGGGGAGGGAAGCGCGAGAGAGACGCGTTTGCTTATATACATTTATAATGGGCGCAGGCATCACGCGAGCACGGGACGAAAAATAAGGCTGCCAAGATACGCGGCGATGGTCTGACGAGCGACTCGTCGTGTGTTTTATATATACATATATAAATACACAACAGCCACGCTCACTCACCGGTACTATATATGTTAGATATACACGAATGCGCGAGAGGAGCGCTTATAAACTTAAACACACGTATATACATATATACAAGCACCGAGTGTACAGGCGAGAGAATAGCAGGTTGTCTGCGGCTCGAGCCGATCAGTGCAGTCCTGACGGCCGTAGCCGCCGGCAGCTGCTCCCGGGCTGTCGTATATTAAGTATATTTACTTGTGTGCTTTCGATTTTCGATTTTATTCTTTTTATTTTAATGGTTTTTTCTTTTTTCTTGTTTTTTTTTTTTTTTTT